GGTCTTTTTGAGACATGGTCTCCCTGTAGCCCCAGCTGTCCTGGAACTCACTATGTAAACCAGGCTGGCCTTGAACTCACAAAGATCTGCCTGCCTCTGCCTCCCAAGTGCTGGGATTAAAGGCGTGTGCCACCACGCCCAGCAAGTCTGGAGGATTTTTAAAAGACTTATGGCACAAACTGGGGGAGGTGTGGGAGGGGGTGAGCTCATCAGTCCAGTTGGCCTAATCAGGTGTCCAAGCACCTCCTTGTTTCAGTCACATAGTGCCTCTTGCTGGTATCACTTTTAGGCAGAGGTGTTCATTTAGGGGATAAAAAGACAGAACCCAGAGCTCTCTTCTGGTACTTTAAGCCTCCAGCACAGGCATTCTGGGAACCGCTGCTGGGTCCCTGTGCTACTTGGCTGGTTTCTAGCTCCCGTTCTCATCAATTTGATGAGCTCCAGGTTCAGTGAGAGACCCTGGGTCACAAAGTAAGGTGGACAGTGATAGAGGAAGGCACCCGATGTCAAACTCTAGCCTCCACATGTGGACTCACACATGCATACAGAGAGAGAGAGAGAGAGAGAGAGAGAGAGAGAGAGAGTGACAGATGGATTAGAGAGATAGAGAGAGAGAGGCAGGAAGAATAGGTATAGAGGTAGGTAGTTGATGGATTGTAGACACAAAGATATTAAGTAGACAGATGACAGATGATAGACCAATATTTGGTACATTAAAGGGTAGGTAGGTGACTGAGAGAATAAAGTTTTCATGACAGAATATCATGGATAGACCGAGTTAACAGCAGATCTTCATCCACTGCCACACAGGTGCTCCTAAGGCCTCTGTTCCTGCAATCTGGCATCTTCCTGTGTCCTTCATGACTGTGTCTTGCATGACTTTCCCTAGTCCAGACATCCCTCTGGTCCCCACCCTTTCCACCTCTTACAGTGACATCTGCCTTGTAATTAGATGAGGGACGCCTCAAGGACCACATTGTGTCTTCGGTCATCTCCATCGAGGTCCTAATCTTGAACTACATCACACTAGTGGTAAATCTGGTCTTAATCCATGAAAATGGGGTATTGTCAATCCTCACCACCACCCAAATGTCCCTGCCCAGCCCAGGGGTCCCTCTGATGCCCTCTGTCCTAGTCCTTTCATTACCATAGCTGGTACTCTTTTATGAAGTCACAGAACTCTGACCTTACTGAATCAGGCCCCCAAATGGTCATCCAGTTCCTCACGTTCCTCCAGTCCTGGTGGATTCTTGCTCCCATCAGACCTGGTTGTTAGAGCTGCTTTGGGGGAGTGGGCAGATGTTTGTTTTAGATACACTCACCTGGGAACCACATCATGTCTCGTCCTCTTTCTCCTGGGAGGGACCTTTATTCATGGGAGCAGGAGCATAGAAGGTGATGCTCCTACCTTATCTGAAGTGTCTGAGGCTCATACACTGCATAACACTTCCTCTGCCCTTTTTTTCGTCAGGGATTTCTCGTCACTATTCTTATAGTGGCTCACGTCCTGCAGGAAAGAGATTTAAGCATGAAAGAGATTGAAGACTGCCTTCCTGCCTGTCCCCACACCACCATTAAATCCCATAGTTGAGTGTGATGGGGCTCTGTAGAACTGTGCTTGGCTAGCATTGTAGAATGTTGCATTTCATCACCAAGATGTCGTTAATTGAGACAAAGTGAAAGATGGTTAGTTTAAGGGGACGGGGGAAGGAGGGCTATACAAGGAACCTAGGGGATAAAGGGAAACGCCCTCAAGAGAGTTGGGACCATAGGAGAAGGGTGTTAGTAAGGGCGAAATGGGAAAAATGTGGGCACTTTAAATGGGGAAAACATGGTTGAAGAGTTAGACAATGCGAGAGATAAATAATGCCTAGCTAGTTTTGAAAAACCAGAGGGAACCGTATTAATCCAACAACCTACTGACAAATTATACATACATCTAGATCAAGTAATACATCTGTCTAGGCAAGGTTTATCTGAGAGCGTTTGGTCTTTGTCCAAGCTTTATCTACATGGCACATGGTAATT